TCCGGATTCGGACTGGGCCCGCCTCTTGCAAGCGCTTGCACTGAGCCGTGAGCTCGTCGTAACTTATCTTCAACTCGTTCTTCTCCTGCACCAGGCCCGGCCGACAATTTACGAGAAAGTCCGCACGCATGATGGCAACGACTCCAAAAGCACTTACAATCTACGAGCCTCCACCATCGCACGCATTTCTTCATCGTGCTTCTTTGCATTCTCCGCCAATACGTGACACTTGACTGAGAGATTGGCGACCACCAAATCCAACTCCTCCCTTGGCAGCAGCAAGGTGCGATGGAACAAACACCTGAAGTCCTGCAGCCTACTGCCTAAAGTGGCCAAGGGGCACCCTCGTCCCTTGCGTGATCGAATGGGCTATGTCCAGGAGGCGTGTTACTTTGGCCTCCGCTTCGATCCTGGCCCAAGCGCTATGCTGAAGAGGGGTGGGAAGTGGCGGCTTCACGCCAGGAGCTTCATGCCTGCTGAGACTACCCGCCTGCGCTTAGTCTCCTCGCGCAGCTTCTCTTTCAGTTCCTCGAGCTGCTCTTCACAGCGTTCTCGACCACATTCTTTTCGCACGAGGATCTCCATGCACTGGCGGTGGCCTCATGCACGGACGCGTTCTCGAAAGCACGGGACTGCGATACACAAGAGGCTTGATCTCTCTTCATCCGCCAGAAGGGCTGCAGCAAGAATGGAAGCGGCTCTCTCGCAAACTCTCAGCGTCTCTAACTGCGGGCTCAGGTACGAGACCACCACGCCGACATCGAGTCATCGAGTCCTCAGCATGGCCTTGCTCCAGATCTTCTGCAGCCATGTCTGCCTTGGCGGCTCAACCGTACTCAAGAGGTACGCGCGACAAACGCACAGAGACCTCGTGCTCTCAGCACGTCACGTCTCCTCTTGGATCTTCCGGCTCAACGGGAGGAGTCCTCTCCATCACGGACCTCATCGATCAGAGAGCCCACCAGGTTGCTCGGATGCTAGGCAGACACCAGACAATCAAACCAAACTGCGCCCAGGCACTTCAGTTCCAGTTGGAATGCCGTGGCCCGTCTCTCGAGCCAGGCAGCTGCTGCAAGGACGAGAAGGCATTCTAACTCCACGGCTCAAGTTTCTGTCATTTCATGTCATTTCTGTCCATGAGAAGAGTTTGTCTGCTGCTTCTCTGGCAGCCTCATCGAGCGGTTGATGCTACCACAGATATTATATGGAAGAACTCCAAGCACCATGGGCCCAAGGGAAAGAACGCCTGAACCCCAATGGCCGATGCTTGCGACTGGAGTGCCGGGCGCTCGCACTTGAAGTCTGTGAACGCAGACTCTTTCAGGTTCAAAGAGACCAGAGCGACATGTGAGCTGTCCATCGATTGCACCTGATTGCTCTTCAAAGCTTGAAAGTCTGCCTGTAATTTCACATGAGCAGATTCTAGGGGGACACACTCTGCCTATGTTTTTGTTTAGGCTCCGGCTTTCTGTCCTCTCCACCCTACCTTGTCTGCCTCCATGGAGGTCAAGCAGATTTGGCCCTCATCCCAGCCCAGTCACACCATGTCTCCAAGTTCTACGAAGGGCAGGCTCAACCCAGAAAAAGAGAAGCAAACGATTCCCGTTACAGGATTGCTCAAGCTAGATCTTCGGGCGTCAAAGCCTGAAGAAACATAGGACCCCTGGTTCCTTGGCTCTGTTACGGGGCCAATCCAGAAGCGTCAGCGCTCCCAGCATTGGATCTGGCTGACCAGCTGTTTAAGAGCCGGACCTGGATGCCCCTTTCAGAGCAATCAAAGTTGACGTCCTTGCACAAGTCCTGCATTGCAAGGCCAACAGCAAGCGGTCTGGTTGTGGCGATCTTTGGAGCTTTGCCGGAACTCGGTTTGCCTGCAGTTGCAACATGCCGTGTCCTTCATGGCATCCGCAACCTTCTTGAGAAGCCCGGCATTTGGCAGCTGTGCGACGAGGCTCATGGCGAGAGCCAAAGCTTTCTAAGACTCCTCAACCCTGTGACCCCGGACGGCTCCAGACATGCAACATGCGAAGCTGGTGGTCAGGTCAGCGATGCCCGATTACTGCACAATGGCTTTTGGAACAGCGGTCTTCAAAAAGCTGCACTGCTGCACGGCACCTCGCACAGAAGCGAAGCGTGGCAGAATGCTGCCGAATGATGCAAGAGAGCTCGGCAGGAGTGCCCCTGCACGGACGAGACAGCTTGTGCACCGGATGGACATTGCGACGTGTGGGCCTCAGGTCGGCCAGCAGGTGCTCAACAGAACCTTTCCAGGGTACAGGTATCAGTAGCAAACGAGATCTTCGACATTGAATTTCTTCCTTCCGTCACAACTTGACTACGACCTCTCTCTCTCTGTCTTACTCTGGGGTCTGCAGGTCTGAGGAGGGCCGAAGCCCCCCCGCCCAACGTCACGCAAGCACTGCCCTCGCGCAAGCTTGCGCCCTGGGTCTTCCAGCGAGACTCTCTCTCTCTCTCACTCTTACTTGCTTGCCTTGCCCGCCTGCCTGTTTGCTTGCTTGCTTGCGTCTCCGGGATGAGCACGAGACACTACTATCCACCCCCGCGCATGCGCGCCAGAGTCCGTCTCTCTCTCGCACTCTCTTCCTTTCCGTGGGTCCTCTCTTCCTTGTTTTTCTGGGAGCGTACAGTAGGAGGTGGTGCCTGTGAGGAAGCAGCCATCCCAGCCACGCTGGAGCAAGTAGTCTGACAGGGAGATGGTCAACACCAGCCAGTCCATCTGAACCTGGGCAGAGCTGGCTTCCGATTCATGCTGTGGATTACTCAAAGGCCGTAGATGCTCTTGTTCATGTCCCAAACCAAGGACACTTTCAGAGAGGGCCTGAGGTAATACTTGGCTTAGGCCTCAGGCGCCGGCCGCGGCAGGGAACCCAACATAGTATAGTGCATCACAACCTCGCACGCTTCGAGACTGTGGACAGCGATCCCGAAAGCCAAACACGGAGCATTACGGCAGACTTGTCTGGATGATTTAAACACGCAAGCTTGGGCGTGGCAGCTGCAAACGCCTGCAAGCTGCCCGACTGCCTGAAGCTGTGTCTGTTGGGGCTCCGGCCTGCAGAGACGTTCGGGACAGGAGGCCCCTCTTGCCTTCAAGGATCACTCGCCCACTCTTTGAATTCTCGCAGCTTGAGTGCCAGGCTCTTGCAACCAGCGGAGTGTTGAGTCGGCAGGCCAGGCCTGTGGACAAAGCTGCAGTCGGGCATGTAATGGATGACAGCCTACAGTATGCTCCTGTGGCAACACCGGCGAAAATGAGCTCGCAGAGTCTTGGGGCATCTGGGTCGTGGTGCTCGTTGCGATGGTGGCTTGGTGGAAGCGGTGGCTGTATAGCAGGAGTCATACGAGGAGCAATATCGGCAGCAGCCGCCATGATATGTCATGGTTTACACCTTGCGGCACTGCATAGCGAGGCAAAGGAGGTGCGCCTCTTCCAAACTTTGCAGGAACATGCTCCAGTCCAGGAAAGCAAGCCTGCAGACAGTGGGGTGGCAAGGGACAAGTGATAAAACAGGCCAAGCTCTAAACTACTGACACAACCTCCAGACCCTTCACAAACCAGTCATTCCTTCTGCCAGCCGGTACTTGCTGGTAACAGCACCATGCTCAAGTGGATCTGGTATTTCCTGCTTACCTGTTTGTCAGGCGGATTTTGCTCTGTGAAAGGAGCGATATGCACATGTTATATACATAGACACGGGCTACAGGCGGTATACGCAAAGATGGAGCATTTGACGGACCGACCTCCAAATCTCTGACCCCACTGGGGAGTGCCGCAGCGACGAGGCACGCGCTGCGGAAGAGAAGGTCGCCTTAGAGAACCATGGCACTTGCATGAATTCTTTTGCTGGGTGTCACATCAGGCAACTCGGGACAACAGTGCGCAGTCTAACTTGTGTCTACGCAAGACCCTGCGAGGCTTTCCCAGTCCAAGCCGAACTCAAATCTAACCCAAGGGTTGCGGAGGCTCTTGATGTGCCATCGGACAGAAACCCTGTCGACAGACCCAGCGAGTCGCAACAGGCACAGTCATGAATGAGTCATGAACCCTGCGAGCTCAAAACAGTTGAACATGTGGTACGAGGGTACTTTGGCACAAAAGAAACCCAGCGATACTCCGATGTGAGCAGAGCTGCGCTGTCGTCCAGGGGGCGAGCCCCGGCCAGGGCCTGCCAAAACGGCCTCGCTTGAGGGATATGCCACTCTTCTGTTTGGCAACCATGGTTGTTTGTTTTGCAAGCAGGTTTTCGGAAATTCTCATGGCGAACCGGCGAGTTCGGCTCAGAGTGAAGCTTGTGCAGGTTTTTCAGGGTTTGCACAGCGAGGCCTGCTCCAAGCTCCACCACCATGCCCCTTCACCAAGTTCAACCTCTGCTGGGCCGAGCAGAGAGGGCAGGAACCTATCACGGTTTAGGGTTTAGGGCTTTTTTCCCACCCGCCCAGCTGACAAAGGGTTTAGGGTTTAGGGTTACGTATTGCAACCTATTGGGTTCTTCTTGGAGTTCCTGGAGATCAGCCGCCGCGACTGCCTGCACTACATTCATCACGTTAAAGCGGGCAGCGAAAGCTTTTCCAGAAGATCACGCTGGTCGCAAAGGCCGCGCAGCGAACCTGAGCGTCTCGCTTGGAACAGAAAACCCTGTTGCAACCCTTTGTCATGTGTAACCTCAATGTCATTTCAATCGCAAAGCCTCACTGCTGACAATAAACTGAATCACGGCCGCAGTCCTCGCCGAATCCCGACCTTCTGATCTTACCACCGATACCGAATAGCAGTAAGTAGCAGCAACAGTCGTGACTGTCACGAGCCAAAGACTGATGATGCTGATGGTGGTCATGTCCGTGATTGTCTGTGGAAGCAACCGCAAGAGACGGCAAGAGAAGCGTGCCGTTGGCCATAGCGGTGACTAGCCGTGACGCAGCAATCAGCTAAGTTCTAAACGCCAGGCGAACTCCAGCCGCGGTGAGGCAGGCGGCGCCTGGCCATGCTTCTCTCTCTTGCCGGCAAGCCGATGAGCGAACAAGGGGTCCCTACCTACCCTTGCCCGGCCTACAGACTTGAAAAGTCTCACAAAACTGCGAGATGCGGTGAGTGAGCGGCATATTTTGGCGTAGGACTCTTCAACTTCAGCTGCAACCAGAACACGTTACTCATTACAGCGCCTCATCGAAGCGGTGAGAGGTACCATACCAACCTCGATGCGCATGTTCCTAAAATCCGAAAATAGCCCGTCTTCTTAAAAAGGGATCTCTGCACTCTGCACACGACTTTCCAACTCGCTTAAAGCCGAGGAACAAGCCGACAGTGCCTGGTTGGTGAGCCTGGGCGCAACTCTGCGCATCAGCTCTGAGAGCCTCCCCTGCATTCTCAACCAATCCTACCATGGTACTAAACATCTTATAGGGGAAAAAATATGTTTTCCCCTATAATATGTTTAGAACCAATCCTACCATGGTTTTTACAATGGTCCTGCAAGTGCCCAGTACTTTGCCGCCAAGATTCCACAGCAGTGACCTCGCGGATCACGGCATTGTGGAGTTCAGCGCACGGAAAACGCCATGTTTAGGCCCTCAAACATCCTCCAGAGCCAAGGCGCACGATCTCTGCGGCCTCAGGGCAGAGGTCGGCCAAGGTCTCTGAGGCCTCGCTGAGGGCCGCCCAGAGCTCGCGGAAGCCTTAAGGAGGCTTGGGATAAAGGTGGGCTTTTTTAATTTCGACCCCAGCAAGTCCATTCTCAAGCCTGCAACCACCTTAAGGGCCACCATAAGCACTCACAAATGCGGCTTGGCGGTTTGGACTCGTTTCGGGCCTTGTTGCAACGCGGACCTTGCCGAGTGAAGCTTTTTTCCCCACCCGCCCAGCTGACAAAGTCGCACCGCAGTGAGTTTGCTGGCTTTCATTCTTGGGGTCGGACACCACAAGTCCAAACGCTGTCACTGTATGCCTCTGTGAGTGTGAGGCAGTGTGAGGGTCACAGGATGTCACAGGCCACATGACATCCTGAAAGCATTTTTCTTTCACACCTCTTTCCTTCCTTCCGGTGGCCCTCGCACGCATGCACGCCTAAGTCACAGGAGCGTTCGTTGGCTCAGCCAACTCCTGAACCATTTTCCCAGTATCCCCCAGTCCATGATCATCGTTTTGTACCTTAACCTACCAAAACCCACTTTCCTGTAGGTTCTTATTATAAACCCTAATATGGGATGTATAGGGACCCTACACAATATAGGTTCTGGTAGGTTAAGGTAGAGAAGATGTTTTAGGGCATGGCGAGCCTAGCCCGCTCTCCTTTTTGCTTCCATAGGGCTTGCGAGTCCGCTCTCTTTGTGTGAGGCCGGGCAGCGTGGTCCTACAGCAACAACTGAATCGTCCATGCCTACATGTGCCCAGAAGTCTCTGATTTCGTGAAACAAGCCGCTTGCATCCAGCTCTTCTCGACCTGGCAAGAGCTGTACTCGACACAGAGCAGATAGCAGAACTGGCCCAACTCTGTCCGTTCACAGGGTTTACCGCATCCTCGCAGCCGGGAATATCTCTCGCCCGCCGAAAGACAGTTGACTAATTAACGCTTCAACGCAAGCAGCAAGAAACTGACACACTCTCTTCGACATAACGTGTCGGCCTTCGAGGAAGCCGACCGCTTGGTCCATCCAGCGAAGCAAGCCAGGTGTAAGGCTGCGAGCGCGATACCTCGCCGTCACCAGGTCATGAGTCGCGTCTTGCGCGAATCTACTCGAACTGGTCAGATGATGTTCTTCTTTCGTAAGTTGGTCGGTGTGAGACTTGTCAGAGATGATGGCACGTGGGGACTGTGGACCACGGGAACATGTTGCCACGAAGGTTCATGTTGAGTTGACCAGCGACATGTGGTCCGCAGTTATGTGCCCACATCTACGCGTGTAGCATAATTTCGCCATGATACTGTGCATCACGGCAGGTGCTTGCACAAAATGCGTTTACGACGAGTACACTCCGTGTCAACATGCGAGCAGCTCTTCGAGGATGCGCCCCCATCTCGGGGCTCGTGGGCCACTGCACGTGGTCGCCAGTGCAGCTGCTTTTGCAGCGTTGGCTGCCACCACACTTGGCCGAAGCTCGGTGTGGTAGGCAAGCAAATACAGCGCTTGACACGCGTGTTCAACGACGTCCTCTTGGGCCTGATGTTCCATGATGGCTTTCACCATGGATTCGGTGCCACCGCACTGTACAATCTGGTGGCGGTTTTCGTCGTTGACTGCCAGGTTGAGCAAGACTGCACATACTCCACCCAGCACATCCGGATTTGACAAGTTCTTGGCCAGGACTGACGCAACACGGGGGACACCTCCTACTGCCGTGGCCCTGTCGACTGCCTTGATGTGGAAGGTCAAATTCCATAAAGCATCAATTACAGGGCGCAGCATCGCCCCATCTGCATCCTCATGAGTCTCTAACACTTTCAAAATCAATTCAACACCTCCCAACTCAACAACCTGTGACTGGTGATTCACATCTGTGAAGGTCAGGCTTTCGAGTGAGCTGCACACCTGTGAGCAAACGGCCAGGTTGGTGACATGCTTCTCCATAAGGTTAACCAATGAAGCGATCTGCTTTCCTTCGCTGCTCTCGACAGCGGCCAGAGCTTCTCGCCCTGATACCTCACTGGACTCCGCCATTCTGGCAAAAGGCTGAGGTGGTTGCTTTGCCTGTGCCAGCTGCGCCTCAGCAATCGCAGCCCGTCGGTTGGCCTCTTGCAATCCTGCCTGGAGCTCTGCAACTTGAGCCTCAGCACTTGCAGCGCGCCGTTCTGCCTGCTGCAACTTGGCTTGCAGATCTGCAACCTCTGCATCTGTTGTGGCATCTGCCTCTTCGGCCTTTTGCGCATCGGGCGCATCCTCAGCCTCTTCTGCATCATCTGCACTCGCAAGCGGCTTTGATTCAGGCGCATCCTCAGCCTCTTGCGCATCATCTGCACTCGCAAGCGGCTTTGATTCAAGCGCATCCTCAGCCTCTTGCATATCATCTTCGCTCGCAAGCGTCGTTGATTCAAGCACATGCTCAGCCTTTGGCGCATCATCTTCGCTCGCAAGCGGCTTTGATGCAGGCACATCCTCAGCCTTTTCCGCATCATCTGCACTCGCCTCCGGAAGCTCTGCGTCAGGCGCATCCTCAGCCTTTTGCACACCATCTGCAGTCGCAAGCAGCTGTGATTTAGGCGCATCCTCCGCCTGCTGCGCCTCATCTGCACTCCCAATCGGCTCTAGCCGAGCAGCCTCTATTTCAGATGGTTCTGGTAGACCATCCTCCTGCTGAGCAAAGAAGGCGCGGTTCGTCGAGGGGTTGGAGCTTAGCGGCTCTGGCTCACCACTTGGCTCTGCGTTTCGAGCATCTTGGCCTTCATCTTCGAGCTTTCTTTCTCCGCCTCCCTCAGGATCTGCAACGGCCAGAGGCGGAGCTTGGCCGCAAGGCGCAGCGAAGGACGCCGGTGGCGGCTTCGCTTTGGGTCTGTGCGGGCGCCTGGTGCTCTCTTTGCTGCCGCCTGTGATGGATTTGGGTGCGAAGGGATTCATCGGAGCTGCGACCGTCGCCCCAAATCCCTCCGAAGCTGCTGATGCTGCCGGGGCACCTCCGTCCTCTACACTGGCAGCAGTGGGGGCAGGAGGCTCTTCGAAGGATACCTGTGTGGTGCGCATCACTGCAGGGGGTGCCTTTTGCTTGCCGGTACCGCCAAACAGATTGCCATAAGGATTTGGTGGAGCCATCATGTTTTCCAAGGCAGACGCCTCCTTCGCGGTCTCTTCCTTCTTCTCGGCTTGCTTCATCACGGATGGGGGTGGAGGCAATGCCGCGTCCTCCTCTTCCAGGTGCTCCTGGCCTCTTTCACGCCACCTCCCCTTCTCTTTGTCGTAATACATCCTGCTCGGCTCATCCGGCAGTTTCACTCTGTGAACGGGTGCTTCACTCGGATCGCTCTTCTTGAACAACCGCCAAAGCATTGTCCCTGTCGCAAAAGCACAACCCGGGACACACCAGCCACCTTCAGCTTGAGCCGTACTTATTTCTGCCATAATGCCCTTGCACAGTTACGCAAGAAGCTTGTCACGAAGCTGCCTGTCAGTCTTTGGAAAACGTCACTCGTCCCTTCATCCAGTCCGAAGGGCTCGATGCCGGCAGACCCATCGGGCTGCGGATTCAGCACCTGCCACACAACCTGCCGCCAGCAGCTCTCTTTCGCAAAAGGGCGAGAATCGTGACTTGTGCCGTGAGGATTCGAGAAGGTATCGGTTGCTCTGGGTGGACGTGCCTCTTCGACAACGATGCGGCAGCCGCAGTTGTTCGTGAGGCACTTGGTCGACCTCTTCCACGGAGTAATGCTTGACACTGCACAACTCTATGCACTGATGCGCCAGCAGGTACCAGCCGACCCCAAAAATCTGAAGCGTCCTCACCAAACTCTCCCTGTTATGATTTGGTATCTATGCTCCTGACAGGTGGCTCGTTCTCTACTGGAAGTGCCAGCAGATCTTGGCAGGAGCTCGTGTCTTTGACGGCCACCTCGGAAAGGACTGTTCACTTCCAGCTTTAGGCTTCTATGGTTGCGCGCCAGGCTATGCAGCAAAACACGACTTCGTGCAGGATGTTTGTTCTTCATGGAAGCTGCCTACCCTCCTACCACTGGACAAAGTTCCATCTGACCGAGGAGCACCGTATCCGATCAGTAGTGGCACCTGAAATAAGTCTAAACAGGTGTCGACTGATGCCGTGCCCAATTTTGCGGACGTCCCTTCACCACAGTTGCTCTACCCTGGGACTAACAACGCGGAAGCACCCATTGCAGAAGCGCTGGCAGGTGCATGTGCAGCACTCCGACCGACGCACATGGCAAGGAATAAAAAAGCCGCTAGCAGTCCGCGGTAGATTTGCCGGTATCCCAGGTCCTGCCCATATCCGGCCTGCGACCTGTGGCCTCACAAAGCCTCTGGGGCTCTAGGGATCAAGCTGTAAAGGTGGCTCAGGGCTGGGCATGCTCGACAACGGGATCCGGAGGTTGGTGCAGCAACCAAGCTACGTAAGTGTTGGGTGGATGGCTTTGCAGGACACCTGTCTCATGTTCTAACGAAGAAGCTTGATCGCGAATGTAGCAGGCCAAGGGGGTTCGCTCCGCTAGCAACCACGGACCAAGCACTGATACAAAGTGGCATGTCAAGATGAGTGCTGTCGAGATGTACCCTTTCAAGGCCCATCGATCCGTGCATGCTGACGAGCTGCATACTGAAAGCCGGGATTTGTGCGACGACAAACACACTTTTTTGTCTCCGACAGCTGGCCGGGTGTGCGATGCAGCTCTACGATTGCAGCTACTACCATAGGCACCCACTATTCTGCCCGTTTTCTGTTCAGGTGCCTGCAAACCGTCAATCATGTTTACATAATTCACACGGACTCATTTGTGCCTTTCTCTGCCTAAACCCTAAACCCTAAAGCCCTACCTTCCCAAGAGTTGTGGGATGCTTCGTGACTTCCATGATCTCCCATGCGAACGCACCAAGATCTCCTCCTCCACCTGCAGAAAACCACGTGAAGCCAATGCAGTTAAGTTAACCTTAACCTACCATAACCCACTTTTCTGTAGGTTCTTATTATAACGCTAGAAAGCAAAGAATAAGCCGCCTCTGATGATTATCACAGCTTGGTACCGCAGGAATAAGAACTAAACTTAAGTAATATATGGCAAATCAATCCTGAAACCTTGACACCCCAACTTGCTCAGCCCTAGGGCCTGCCTCCTGCACTAAGGCTCTGGAATGCTCCGGCAACGACAGCTGTGCTTGGCCAAGCTGTGGTGATCCTCAGCGCTCTCTTGTGCTGTACATGTGTTCATATGTGCTGCTCTTCTAAATTCTATATATCTTACATCTCAAAATCGGACCACGGCTTGCGGGTTTCGGGCGAAGCGTGGCAGACACATCTTCTTCCCCGTGACAAGATCTTGTTGCTGGCTTTCAAGGCATACAACTATAATGGGCTCAGCAAAGACTGCAAGGGTGTCTTGCATCGCGCGGAACTGCTGTCCGAGTTAGTGGCAGGCAGCTCTGCAGCCGCAGAAGCTCTGAATCTTTACAAGATTGAGCCGGTCTAAAGCGAATTTCTGATCACAGCCATTGCTGTCCGAAAGATGATGCGAGACCACAGATACCGACACCCGGCCTGTCAGAGCTAAAAAAACTGAGGCAGGCCTGGTGGGGAAGCTTCTGATCCTGCTCATAAGCCGACGGAAAAAGCATGCAGCTGTAGTCGGGACCCCAATACAAACCGCCGACATTATTTAAACGAGAACTTGATGTCTTGGATCTTAACTGAAGTCTTAACAGACGGGGGCCCATAACCGAAACCCCCGGATTCAAGGCCCAGCCTTTTGCAGGGCGATTCAATCCGGGACAAGGCTCTTGGGCCCTTTTTTCAGGACAGCCTTGCGTGGACGCCGTGGACACCGAGAATCGAGCAGTCAGAAACAGTAGAACGTCACGAACGATCGCTGACTTTAGGATGCCCATGCCTGGAACATCCGGTCATCACTGGGCCGGGCATTATCGGTTCTCTAAGGCTCCGCGGCTTCATGAAACCAAAGATCGGCCCCATAAAGGGCGAAGCTACCTCCGAATTCACAAGCTGCGAGCCGCGAGCTTCGCAAAGTTGCCATCCAATGCGACCAACTCCTCGTATGTGCCAGACTCAAGAAGTCGGCCGTTGGAGAAAACGAAGATCTTATCTGAATCCTGGATGGTAGAGAGGCGGTGTGCCACGGTGATGGTTGTCTTGCCTACCCGAGCTTCTTGCATCGCCTGCTGCACTAGGTTCTCTGACACAGAGTCCAGCGCTGATGTCGCCTCGTCCAGGAGCATGAACTGAGGCTTTCGAAGTAGGGCTCTCGCGATGGCGCAGCGCTGCTTCTGACCGCCAGAAAGCTTCTCCCCTCGAAGGCCAACGCGATCGCTCCACTGCACGGCGCCTGAGAAGATGTAGTCCATGTTTGCAGCCTTGGCTGCATCTCGGACCTCTTCATCCGTTGCCTCCGGATAGCCGTACTTCACGTTCTCTTCAAGGGACATGTCGAAAAGCACCGGCTCCTGACCGACGATGCCCAACTGCTGGCGCCACCATGCCACCTAAGTTGCACATACACTGACAGGGCTTGGACAGCTGCGGTTGCTGGCGTGTACCGTGCGTGGAGCCGCGTTGTGGCTAGTGCTGCGTAAACGAAGGAGTGTGTGATGTTCCATCTCATCTTACGGCTTTCTCTACTCAAGATGCATGTGTTGCCCTCTTGGCTTTAAGAAATCAAGGTCGTGATGTGGCAAAAGCCTGAACTACCGGTTTCTGTTGGCTTCTCATAACGTTGCAAGCCGGGCCTTTTGACCAACCTCGGGAAAGGCTCTAGTGACAAAATGCAATGAATGTCTCAGGGCCCTGGCGGGGCAACTTAGCATGCCACGTTGAGTTGACGCAAGTCCTGGCCGCCAACAAGGATGGCACCCGCTTGGGGATCGTAGAAGCGCTGTAGGAGCTGAATCACTGTGGACTTACCGCTGCCGGAGAAGCCGACAAGGGCTACCGACTGGCCCTTCTCGATGGTAAAGTTCAAGTTCTTGAGCACCCGAACCTCCGGACGGTGGGGATACCAGAAGTTTAGGTTCTGGAACTCAATGGACCCATCTCCGAAGGTCTCAATCCGTCCCGTCGGTTCTATAGCATCGATCTGGGACACCTGGTCAACGAGGCGGAAGACCTCCATGGCGGCATAATATCCTGATGCCGACTCCGGGATGAACTGAACTATGGAGCTCACGGATGCAACGCCGAATACCACACAGAAGAGGGTAAGGAGCACCTGGTGTGCGTCGAAGTGCCAGAACTGGATGCAAACGGCACTGATCCAAAAGCCCGCCAAGTAAATGACCTGGCCGCAAACTTAGCTTGCAGGCTCTCAGCCCATCCACGCTGATCCTCTCTACAGACCCCCTTGTGGCACCCCGTTTGAAATTGACATGAAAAAACTTGGCCAAAACCATGCCCTACCCAGCCCGAGCCAGTACCTGGATCAGGGCCAGGTTCAGGCCGACGGAAAGGCCCAACTTCCAAGACTTCGCAGCGTTGGACTGCAAGACGTAGTGCATGGATTCCCGGAGAATGCTGAGAGTATGCTCTTCTGCCCCCAGGGCCCTGACGGTGCCTTAGGTCTCCGGGGACTTAGGGCCAGGTTTCGAGGGAAGCCGATGCCTCACAGCAGTCCTCCAAGCTACCACAGCCACGACAGTGACTTCTCGATCGACAGAGAAGTTGCACCTCAACTTGCTAAACCTTTCAAGCTGCGGATTGAAGTTGCAGCCTCTGCAGTGAACTTTCCAGCCGTGGCATAGGCGTTTTCCACTTTCGGGTCCACGCGCGCGGCACAGCTGGCCACTTTGAAGCCGATGTAACCACAAATGGGTAGCAGACCTACGAATCAAAGTGTTGGCTGTTTGTTGTTGCGCACAAGGCGGGCTATGCGGTTTTCGGAAGATGCATACTCGCCCAGAGTGGGAACTGCGTTTTGGAGGCCCCTGCCTAAAAGGACCACAGCCAAAATCCAGGAGCCAAAGAAGCTAAAGCCGATGCTGAGAATGCAGGTAAAAATGGCGCCGGCAGAGTTTCCGAGCTGGATGCCGAGCATCTGTCCCACGCGATTCCTGGAACATCCAGGAATTTGCATTGGGTACCCTACCTAGTGCTCGACCGTCTCTACCGTGAAAACGACAAACGCCTCAGTCAGAAAGATGAGGACAAAGGCACGGTCAGATCACTACCATCCCTGGCATCATCATGAGCCTCATCATCCTATCATCTTCATCCGAACTACCACAAGTACCATCCCTGCACCATCATCATTATCACCGGCACTGCTGCCACTGCAATCACATTCAACGTGCCGTTGGCAATCAAGTCAAAGTTGTTGCATGTTGAGGTTTTACAAACGTACTGCACCGTCCTGCTTCGGGATGATCAGCAGGTCACAATCACCTACTTTTTACTAGTCGACGTTATTCAGCACCATGCTCTTCTGCCTCCGGTAAAACGATGTCTTGACCTCGGCCTAGGACCGGACAGAGTCATTACCCAAATGCAGCCCAGGCTCATGTGCCTTTCGAGGGATACCAGAATGCTTGCCGTCTGGTTCTCCGGCGCGTCGAAGAAGGCCATGTCCATGCGGATGGTGCTAGCAAAAGCTGCTTTGCGCAGAATCAAGCAAAGAGACTCTTGCAAGTAGGTGAACAGCGAGTTCTGGCAAAGGACCGCCACCCCAGAGCCCAAGCCAACCAGCACCAGGCACAAACACGCCTCATCCAGCTTGTGAAGTTCGATGCCCTCTGTATCAAACAGTGCGACGATCCCGGCGTTGAAAAACACCGCTTGGAAGGGGAAAGCTGCTGCTTGGATCACGACGATCAGAAAAGCAAGCGGCCAGGTCCACCTAGGCAAGGGCAGACTGGCTTGTGAAATCCGCCCAGGAAATGTTAGTTCGAGTGTTTCAGGGAGGTATTGCTCGAGCCCGCCAAACGCGACATGAACGTTGTGCTGTGCTGGTGAAGTTGCCTTTAAACTCGCAGATCGTTTGCACTGTACAGTCTGGTAGCATAACAACATCACCGCTAGGTCGCAGTAGCAACCGCGGCATTGTAATGCAAAGTTTCGTCGTCCGGATGCTCATCCGGATTCTACTCGTCTACTCTATTCTACTCTTAGGAGTCTGTGCTGGCAAGGTAGTTTCTGGCCCTTAGCAGCGCATGGAAAGCCGTAACGAAAATACAGGGGTTTTAATTCCTTTGGATGCAGCTCGGCAGTTAGTTGCCACGAGGCGAGGCAAGGGAAACAGTTGCAAAGCTGACTGCAAAAACAACCGCTGCCAGCAATGTCTAGGCGCCAGTAGATCTTCATCAAATTCAGCAGGCGGCACCAAATGGCAGAGCGATAATTCGAAGGATCCTGCTGTTTCGTGGATTCATGCATGCAGGTTTTGCAGCCAGTCCGGCAAACATTGAACCAGCAAACACGCTAGTCATCCGATCCTCGCTGCCTCCCCTGTCCCCTCGTTGCACCCAGAACCAAGACAGACTCAACAAGTGCAGTACGACTGGAACACTCCATCGTCTCATCATGGTCATCTGATGCCACGGAACGGATGTTGGACTCCGCCCAAGAATCTCAAGCCCCAACAACTCATAAGCTCACTCATGGCCTGGCCATTCCCATCCAACGCGAGAGCCGTCTCAAGGAAACTCATCGCACTTCCACTTCGCCGGGCAGTCTTCTGCATTCCTGCCTTGCAAGGAGCGAAGGTCTCGGGTTCTTTTCGAAAAAGGTCACTTACTTCTTTTCCGGCCTCGTTGTTTCCCGCCGGAGGAGGGACGAACACATCGTTGGGGTTCTCAGCCTCCTTGTCCTTGTCGTCCCGGGTTGCCTGCTGTAGCTTGGCCATGCTGTAGTACTCGCCTCGCAGCTCCAGGAGGTCTTCATGGGAGCCCTGTTCACAACAACGTCCATCTTTGAGAACATAGATGACGTCGGAACCCTTAATAGTCGTGAGCCGGTGGGCAATGGAGATGGTGGTAACGCTACTTCCAAGGGTTGTGCCCAGGGAGTCCAGTGTCGCCTGCACCATACGCTCCGACTCGTTGTCGAGGGCAGATGTGGCTTCATCTAGCAGCAAGATCTGGGGACTCTTCGCTAGAGCTCGTGCAATGGCAAGCCGTTGTCGCTGGCCACCAGACAGAAGCCCACCACCAGAGCCCACAAACGTGTCGAACTGCTCTGGAAGCTGAATCAAAGTGTCATAAATTTGGGCTGCCTTAGCTGCGTCCATGGCCTGCTCGTCGCTGATGGAATCGTCGCCGGCTTTGAGGTTCTTCATGGCAGTCGTTGCGAAAAGGACAGGCTCTTGGCCAACATATCCGATAAGCTTCCGCCATGCTTTGGCTGGCACCTGGCATCTAAGTCACCGAACATCAGCATGCACAGGATGCTTCACAGCACTACCATGTCAAGTATTCAATGATTACTATCTCTCTGCTCTACTGGGAGCTACGGTATGCAACGGGCTGTGCTACAAAGTCAGTCGAAGAGTTTCAGTTTCAGTTCCACTCTGCAGTTGCACTGCTTGCATTTGCAATTAAGGGTGTCCTTAACTGTGGCATGTTCACATCTTCTTAGGCAATAGGCAGCTGGCATGATCGCGCATGCGTACCCGTCTGTGTGCAATCCCTGGTGACGTGTGTTCCGAGGTTTGGCACCTGGCTGAGGTGGATCCCGTTCACGAGGACCTCACCCTGACATGGGTCATAGAAGCGCTCCAAAAGTTGGATCGTCGTGCTCTTTCCACAACCACTTTCACCTGCAAAGGCGATCTTTTGACCTTTCTCCACGCGGAAGCTGAACTTCTGGAGCACCCACTTGTCGGGCCTGGTCGGGTAGCGGAAGCTGACATTCCGGAACTCGATCGTCTCCACGGTTTTCAGCTGCACCGGAAGTTCTTCCTTCGTGTAGAGCGGGCGCTCGATGACCCGTGCAGTTGCCATAACCTGGGGGCGCCGCGCTGACTGCGGCTCTCGGCCAAGATGCAGGACATGCAACAAATAAGAACTCGCTCTACAAAACAGATATTGAGCACATGAGAGCATGTGTATGTACGTGCACATGCGTAGCTGACCGTACGTGGAATTGCTGATTCGTACAGATGATACGAGAACGAAACACAAAAACAATGCCAAACGAAGGAAACGGCATTATAGTAGTCATTGCGCAAGAAGTGATGACAGTAGTAGCCCCCACCTGCTTCATGGACTTGGCAGACACCACGGCCTTGGCCATCATGGGAGCAAAGCCGCTGAAGGAGCTAAGCCCAGTGACCCCAACCAGCATGGCGATCATGACGGTGACGACCTGGCTTGGCTGATAGTGAAAACTCTCGTTTGCGAGGAGGACGTGACCACCGAACCAGAGGGCCAGACCATACACCCAAGCGTAGAAGAAGTTGAGACCGCCCCAAGCGACCCCGATCTTGGCTCCGGAACGAACACCGCCAACCTTTGCAGACAGAAGCTCTTGCTCGAAACGTCCCAACTCTGTACCCTCGCCGCCGAAGGCCGCGACGGTGCGGATGGCCATCAGCGACTCCTCTGCAACCGCAGAGGCCCGGGCAAAGTCCCTCTGCTGGTCGACCGTCTGAGTCTCGACCTCCTTACCCAAGCGGGTCGCAAGACACATGAGCACCGGAATCGTTGCACTCACTACGAGTGCCAACTGCCAGCCTGTGACAAAAGCCAAGGCCAAACCCCCGATGAGCTGCGCAAGACTCGCGATGAGGTATCCCAGGGCCGTGGACATGAAGCTGTAGACGTTTGCAATGTCGGTCTCAAGCTTGGCCGCAACTCCCGCTGGCTCGTGCTCATCATACCACGAGACATCCAGGGACAGCAAAGTTCCCATGAAACTGGCGTGCCACCGGTTGCACTGCTTGGCAGCCGCCCAAGACAGGCAAGTTTGCCAAGCGAAAGCCAGCAGAAACTGGACGACTGCAAGCACCATGATTTTGTAGAGGGTTGGAGCCATCTGGCCCAGCATGTGCTCCTCGTCAGCATCAACGGCAGTCAAGGTGGTGATGCTATCTGCAGTGAACATTGCGATGGCCGGGGTCGACACTCCCTGGGCCAAAGCGCACACTGCACCGAAGCCTAAGACAATCTTCTCGCAGCATTTCAAGTGGGCGGTCACCGCCGCAATGTCGTCACTGCCACTGCTAGTCGGCTTTTGCGGTTTTTGCTCCTTCTCGTGTATTTCTATCATCTCGTTCACCTCTGCGAAGTGGGCCTTCTTCCCCATCTCGACATCATGCACGACTTTGGGCGACTGCTCCCGCCCCAAAAGGACGGGGAGACCTTCCGCCGGGGTTTCCACCACCGCTGCGCTATCGGCAGCCATGGCGGAGGGAAGGATGGGAAAGGAGCAAACCGGGCAGGTTCTGCGACTCTCGGATTGCTTGGGAGATCGGCAGCACCAGGCCTGTCTCGAGATTGAAGTGTTCGGATTAATCTGGCGCACTGAAAGAACTCCCAAAGAACTGCTCTGTCCCTATATCCCTATATTGCATCAAGAGAGCAAGAAACTGGGGCCCAGCGCATCTCGACCTCGCCAGGTCGCAGATTCATGATTTATGTCGTTCACACCATCGTATAGCTAGGGCCGATAGGGCTAGGGCTGGGCCATCCTAGATCAAGAACCTTGTGATCCTGCCACACTACGCACATTCATGTCCACGACCTCGGCAGATCTTGAGAAGGGCGATACTCCGCGAAGCATCTGCGAGTGTACATCTACATCGTAGACCAATCACAGCCATTGGCCCGATCGCATTGAACGCCGGTTAGGGCAGCAAGTGCAGCCTGCGTTGTAACAATAAACATGACCATGGCAGCACCCATCCAACCCTGATGCCCTCAATGTTCCTAGCCCCCAATCACTTTCAGGCTATCCGCTTCGACTTTGGCCGAGACATGAAAAGAGAAACACGATTCGAAGTATTTGGACTATATAGTTCGGCTTCGGGACTATGCCAACACACAGTGTGGATAAATGTTCTTCAGGTAGCTCTTGCCACCAGTTTTGAGTCGATGAGGTTTTGGGCTTCGCGGAAAGCCGGCCTAACCAGACATGAGAGTTCCCGATAGTTCTCGAACTTAGGTGACGTCCAGAATGTTCGGAATGACCACACAGAAGCACAATAAACATGGCCATTCTTGTACTCTTTCGCAACAGAAACCCGAAGAAAGCGGCCACAACGGACGTACTTCCATGTCTTCGCCAGCTGCCTCGAGAACTATCGCGCCGGTGAGCTGCGGACAAACCAATAGATGAAGATTAAAGTTGTAGAGACATTATTTCTGACTGCAAGCAATGTATTGGCAATCAGCATGCTAAAACCAGAAATATCAAGAGCAGTACAACAACAAGCCCAAATCAGGATCGATAGTGGCTAAAAATGACCCGAAGCAGGAGAAGTGACTGACCGTCTCGGGCCCAAAAACTGCGGAAGTAAACAACGGTTTCCTCGTACCAGCCCCGCAAAGCTGAGCTGCCACGTGCACCCAGAAGAGCAAAGACGCTGCTTGTTCGACTCTGCAAGTCACCATCAGGCATCTGGATCCGCGCATTTACTGCTGAGCTGAAACCGGTCGCACCGATGATATGCTGATCTGGCTAGGCACGGTGCCTTGTATCTTGACAGTGCAGCATGAATACGCCACCGGCTGCGACTGAAACGGGTTCCCCTTGAACAGGCCCCCGCTCTTGCCCGGCAATGTTTCAAAAAAGTTGTGCTGATGCGCCCGCAAACCAACAGACTAAAAAACTATCTTCTGGATGGTATCATTGCAGTTGCTTGGTTGGTATTTGTCGCCCCCCTGGAACTTTTGAAACTACCATACGGTACCACATTGGCATATGCAGTGTCATGCTGACGTCTTAAGGCTGCTCGTCACTGAGACCAACTACCATGAGCGCTTTTGTTGCCGCCTCACACAGTTCTGTCTGCCTGAAGCATGGATACTTCATTTCGATTTTGGCACATGCGAGTTGCGGCTCAATGAGCTTTTCAGGTTCATGCATTGCCAGACCGGGAAGGCTATCTGATGAGATCTTCTGAGTCTGTTGGTTCTGAGACTACCATCGCACCTTCGGGAAACGAAGAGCAAAACAGGATTGACCTCTTCAGGCCGTCGATCTCCGAATGTTCGTAGCAGTTGAAAGCCGCCCAAATCGCGCTTTGGAACATTCGTTCTCAAGGCACCTAGCCCATCTCTGGCGGCCAACATCACTCCGACCTACGATTCTTGGCCTGGCAGTGCAGTTAATCTCGGGCACTGTGAGGTGCCGTCAGGTCCTCGGAGTGCGAGCTGCCACTCGAGACAGGAAGGCTGGCTTCAGTTGGATGGAATGTTCGGATGCGAAGCTCGTTGAGCCAGAAATCTACTCGGATCCAAACCCTTCCGAGTAACTTGCAACACCGGATTCCAGGTAAAGGTCCTTGTCCAACCGAAGTGAAAGAGAGGTACATGTGCTGCATGCCCACCATGTGCCAAGCTGTGATGTGATTTCAAACAAATGCGCTGGAGGCACCACAGTGCTGCTCACGGAATGCCAGGCCGAGCCCAGCATATGGCAATAGGAGGCCGCAGTGCGTCTATACCAGCCGTTCAAAAGACAGGCGCAAATCAATATTAAGAGCCTTCCGACTCAGACTGGTCCTCCGACTCTCAAGCGAACAGCACGCCGGCCTGAATGCTTTTCGAACGGTAAGGTCAAAGTTGTTGCGAACTTACCCGTGGCTTGCGTATGTGCATACAAAATGCGAGAGAGCTGTATGCGCAAAGAGAAAACACATACAGGTGCGCTCGCACACAGGCACACGCATGATCTTTGGGCCATTCCGGACATGAGAGGTTGGCATGTCTCAGGCGGCAGCTGCGGCAGCCAGGTGTCCCAGGAAGAAGAGGTATGGCTTTGTGTTTGCCCTGTCAAAAGGCGTCAAGTGAGAATCAGTGACAGGCTGATCTCCTTTGCTCAAGTTTTACGGTATTTACTTTCCAAGCCCCCCTTTTTTTACCAGGAGCTCCAAGCCCGCAAGCCTCATCCCCAGCTCAAGGCAAGAACTACAGAGTGTCGCGGCCAGGATAGTAAGCTCACGGCAGATATCTGCAAAGCCCGCAGCAGAGACCTGCAACGGAACTGATGTCTTCCTGCAAAATATTTGACAGGGCATGCCGCCTTGATACAGGATCGCGAAGGCAAACAAAGCTCTCGATCGCTGGAGAGCGGCGATGATCTAAGACAGGGCAGTGTCTCTGAAAAAACAAAAGCTCCATCAGCACATGGACCGAGAGACTCAAGACACGTCGCTTCCAATCATTTCTGTCAGTTTCGAGGCAGCGACGCACATCAAGACCCAAACCTGCCCCGGGCAGGAGCGGTTGAATCATAGCACCGGCAGGTTATTCATCTTACGATAGCAGCGCAGAAAACAATACTGACGATGACAATGGTTCGAAAGCATGTTAATTACGGGCTGCATGAAATGCTCACGTCTTGCAATGAGCCCCACGCCGATGACATCGGCCCCATCTCCACCGCGACCTCAGCCACCACAGGGCACGGTAGTTCAGACATATTGTGTATAGCCTCATGCGCAAAAGGTTTGTGCACAACCGTCTTGGCTTATCTTTTTTCTTGGTGGGCACATCGACGTCAAGATCTCGCAGAGATCGACTTGGCGCACAAACCACCGGAGTGGCTTTGTCCTGGCTTGTTGTTCGTGGTTCTCGCCTTCGTCGAGCTCCCCACTTCCTCGCAGGATGCCATGTGCTTGAGCGGCTTGCGTCAGACGGGATCACACCGAAGCTGACACGAAGACGTCGCTGAACGGCTCTTCCCTGTCGCACACCCGAAGGGCAGATGGGTAGAGTACAAGCCGTCTCTCGGGCAAATCCAGTCGAAGGAGATGTGGCTTGCTCCATGTGTTCGCAACCAAGCAGACGGAGCAGCAGCCACCTGAGAAGCAAAGTAAAGGTACATGGAATGCCAGGCACGGATGAGGATAGACACGATCTCAGCCCCACCGAAGGACAAGCAACGCTGAGTCCGCTGCTGTACGTGTCCAGCATTTTCCAGTCTGGTCGGTTGGTTGTCGTCTGGCGGCCAGCTCTTCTTAACTTCGCTTTCGTTTGTTCTTGCCGGTGCGTTTCTTTGGCGCTGGCGCGAGCCCTGTGGCTGCGTCCGCCTGGGCAACTCTAGCTGCGCAAGCGGAAAAACGCAGAACCAGCTTGACCCCCACTGCTGCCACTGCTACCATCGAACTGAAAAAGCGCCTGTATACAGCTCGTGACAGGCGCGACAACGCATGACCTTTCGGCCCACCATGCTGTTGAGGGTGCGAATTCTACTCACGTCTGCGAAGTTGCAAACTCGACACAGTCGTTCCGCACACAGTGATAAGCACCTTACGACGACATCCCGATCGGGAGTACTTCGACGCGGCTACCAGGGATTATTGGACTTTGCTGGATGCGAGCGTCGTCTCAGATGGTGAGGCTGCATCGGCAGCACAAAGCCTGCGCACCTCCGCATCCAAGGCCTCCAAAGAAACCTGTGTCCAAAGCTACCAGGGTAGGGGAGTTACATGTGGTGCTTGTGGTTGCGATTTCTGCGTAAGCAGCGACACCGCAGCAGACTCAAAAAGCATCCTGAGTACATGCAAGTTGATGATCTTTCCGCTGGGAGGCCGCATCAACATCTTGATGTTGCCGCTTGTGTACCTGATCGAGGACTCACGGACTGTCCGGCTGCAACTTATCCTATGGAGTTGACAATTGGCTTTCTTTACCCCCTGCTCCTCCTGCCTCCAGAGCTTTTCTCTGTTTTGCAGCTCTTTTGCCGGTCACTGGCCCGCCCACCTGCCGGCTCTGAAGGCAAGGCTGATGCTTGGACACACTTAACTCTTGATTAAACCACTGACGAAGTCCGCTGACGAGGCTTCCAAAAAGAAGCTTTGCCTGGACTCGAAGCCCAAACCTCATGGAACCTTAAACGACGGACCATTGTGACTTTGACTACTGCAGCTTCATGGCATGCCTCGGCTTTGAGTTCCGCAAGCAAGGGCAACTTGCCAACGTATCCATGGCTCACACAACCGCAAACAACCAACAGGCACACCTTGTTGACTGTATGCGCACTCATGCATGACATAACACAACAGAAGATAACATTGGCATTAGCATTAGCAGCAGAATTAAGTTTAAGCATGCTTGCGCATCAACAAGCTACAAAGCCCCACGCTTTTCAGTCCCAACGGGCGTGCCAGGGCAGCGGTGAGCCGGCGGCACTCCTTGCAAGACTCCAGCTTTGCCACCTCCACGGCGAGGTGAGCCCGA